CTGTCAGCCTGGCTGACTTGGCTGTCAGCCTTGTGACTTTGCTTGTCAGCTTAGCGACTTTGCGTCAGCTGGCTGACTTGCTGTCAGCCTAGCTGACTCTGCTGTCAGCCTAGCTGACTTATGTCAGCTGGGGGGTGACTCTGCTGTCAACAGTTAGTCAGTCAGAATAAAAGAAATGAGTCAATAAGCGATAATACTGGTAAATTGAAAGTATTAATATTGAAGTTTGTGAGGCAGTTGTAATAAAGTTCTGGAATGCTTAATGATTTTGTTCATAATGTTTATAAAGGAAAAGGGAAATCTTTAAAGAATGTAATTGTTATAAGAATAAGACTGTTGACCATAAAGTGTTGTGTCTGAAATATGATGGCTGGAAATGATGGAAAAGACAAATAATTCGTACCAAAGTAGAGTGTGAATTTGAAAGGGAAAATTAATATATGCATCAAGGTAACAATGGAAATACCCAAGTGAAAAACAAAAACTTATATAAGGGAAGCAACACTTAGGTGCATTTATAGGTTTGATAAAAATATACTAGAGTTAAAAGGTATTTAATCTTAGCAAATGTTTTTGAGAAGCAATAGTGTTGAAGTAAGTTAATATGCAAGAAAGAGGTAAGATTTACACAAAAAATTGGTGTTAGATAATGTTGTGTGATGTACCTGTGGTCTTAAGACGTGTGATTGTCACCTGGTGGTCTTAAGGAGTGTGATGTCACTGTGGTCTTAAGACGTGTGATGTCACTGTGGTCTTAAAGACGTGTGATTGATGTCACCTGTGTGGTTCTTAAAGAGTTATGATGTAACTGTGGTCTTAAAGACGTGTGAAGTCACCTTGTGGGTCTTAAAAGACGTTGTGATGTACTGTGGTCTTAAAGACGTTGTGATGCACCTGGGGTCTTAAAGACGTGTGATGTTACCTGTGGTCTTAAAGAGTGTGAATGTACCTGTGGTCTTAAAGACGTTGTGATGTCACCTGTGGTCTAAAGGACGTTCTAATTGTCTCCTGTGGTCTTAAAGACGTGTGGATGTCCTGTGGTCTTAAAGACGTGTGATGTCTCTGTGGTTTACTGACGTGTGATGTCACTTGTGGGCTTAAAGACTTGTGATGATCACTTGGTCTCTTATAGACGTGTCATGGTCACTGTGGTTTAAAGACGTGTGATGTCACCTGTGGTCTTAAAGACGTGTGATGTCACTGTGGTCTTAAAAAGAGTGTGATGTACCTGTGGTCTTAAAGAGTGTGATGTCATTGTATTTAGCAGAAGACAGTATATACAGAGTAAGCTCATGTAGACCAGGTGTCCCTTCTAATACACAGTTTATTAACAATTATGTAAAATCTGTTAGAACAACACATACATGTGTGCGCGCATGTATGTATATATCCGACCTTCATATCATTACGAAACACCAGAGATAGCATTATTATAAATTCGTTATAGATTTCTAGAGCAAATTTAGGATTTGAATTGATAACTTTTTCATACAATAATAATGTACACATGGGACATTCGTGAACACACAAGCAACAGGTACTATGACACCCAATATACAATAACAGTAGTATTAAATTCATTTTACAAATTAACATGTTACACACGACACACAGTCTCCTAGTGTCTCAATTGTGTTCATCTTTATCTATTTACATATTTTTTCATAGAATGTCGCTCACAAAAACACATTTAAAACTGTAAATAAGTTAAAAAAAACTTGTTTCAGTATTAAATTTTCTTAGTGTAAATATAAGAATTTCAAAATTGTAATTAATTAGCCCCAGGGTGGCAGAGCTGTGTACGAGCTTGTCTCGTCCAGCTGGTCTACGGTTTCCGGCTGTCTTTGGTGGATGTAATTACTGGACGCAGTTTTGTGTGTCCTCTCAGTAATTCACCTCTGGACATTCACTCCGTAGACCAGCTAGCAAGGACCAAGTTGCATTCAGCTAGGTCAAGTAGGTGGCAAACCGCTGAACTCTGGTGAAGAGGGGAAGGGGTCCACTCAGTGAACAAAGTGGATTCCTGGAGGACACTGATCCGGGGAAGCACCGCCGACCTTAGGTAAATGGGGATAGGGGAAACCTCCGGGAGCGAACGGATGGATTCCTGGGGATACATAGAGCTTGGGGAAGGTTGGTAGTTGAGCTTGAACTTAGGTAAAGTGGGGGAAAGGGAGACATCCGGGAGCGAAGGATGGATTTGGATACATAAACCTGGGGAAAGGCAATGAATACCAGCAGTTGAGGTGACGGGGTAGTGGAAGGGAAAAGAATCCGGCGTAGACGGATCGATTCCTGGATACATGAATGGGTTAAAGAAGAATACCGTGGACTTTGGGGGAAGTGGAGAAGGGAATTCACTGAAGTGACACACGTGGACTCCTGGAGACCACTGATCCGGGGAAGGCACTGCCCTAATTCGGTGACTTAGGTAAGTGGGGGATGGAAGACATCGGGAGCGAGGGTATGGATTCTGGATAGCTAGATTGGGGCAAGGTTGTTGTTGAGGTAAACGTTGGGTAAGGGTTTGGGGAAGGGGAGAACCTCATTTGGGAGCGAGGCGGATGAAATTCTGGTACATGACTGGGGAAAGCATGAATAGTGCAGTTGAGGCTGACCTTGGGGAAGTGGGACGGGAAGAATCCGGCGGTTTAGACGGATCGTTCTGGATACATGAAACCTGGGTTATAAAGCAAGAATCGCTCCGTTTGGGGAAGTGGGGAAGGGTTTCCACCTGAAGATGACACAAAGGGACTCTGGAAGACATGATCTGGGGGAAGGCATGACTAACTCGCTTGTCTTAGGTAAGTGGGGAGGGAAGAATCGGAGCGCAGCGGATGGATTCCTGGATAATAAACTTGGGGAGGTTGTTGTAGGGCTAACATTGGGTAAGTGGGGAAGGGGAGACATCGGGCCTAGCGAACGGATTGGATTCTGGATACATGAACTGGGGGAAAGATGAATACAGGTTGGTGAGGCTGACTTGGGAAAAGTGAGAAAGGGGAAACATCCGGCGGCGGACGGATGATTTTCCTGGATACAAACCTAGGAAGGCTGAGGCTGGAAGGGCAGAGAGGAGAGGGCGAGGCTGACCTTAGGGAGTGAGGAAAGGGTAGACATCCGGGGCACGATGGATTCTGGACACATGAACCTGGGGAAGGCGATGGGGGGGGGGACTTAAAGACGAACCATGGCTCCACGTGGGCAAGGTCTGGTAACTCAGAGATAAACGCTGAGGCTGGACAGTGGTCGCAAATTATTTAATATTATTTTAATTCAGATTTGCTAATTTGGATTCAAAAGCGTCTACCAGGGTGGTATTATTTCCACTCCAGCCACTCTCTAGGAGTCCACAGTTAGTGTTCTTATTTTGATTCTTTAACCGAAGTTTAACTTAATAAAAATAACATTAATAAATATTGTCTTCATTTTTATTAAAACAACAGAGATAAATTGCAACAACTAGAAATGGCCGTAATATATTTTGAGGAGTCGTTGAGCGATGTGAAAGATGCCAGGTCTCCTGGGTACAATGTTTGGTACTCTAAACATAACGTAGTTCATCTGGAAAAGACCGGGCCGGGGCAATACCGTGGGTGTTTGCAGGAGTGAGACCCAATCAGTTAGGTGTTTCAATCCAAAAACGTTTCGCCTAACAGTAGGCTTCTTCGTTTAATATAGAGCAGCAGCAGAGCAGTGAATGTAGGCTGATGTAATTATAATAATGCGTGATACCGAAAGGTATCCCCGTGATTTCCCAGAAAAGGTATCCCCGTGATCCCAGAAAGGTATCCCCGTGATCCCAGAAAGGTATCCCCGTGATCCAGAAAGGTATCCGTGATCCCAGAAAGGAATCCCGGTGATTCCAGGAAAGGTTTCCCGTGAACCAGAGAAGGTATCCCGTGAATCCAGAAGGTATCCCCGTGATCCAGTAAGGTATCCCCGTACTGCATAAACTTATGTTCATCTCTGTTTGCTGTGCATTTTTTCTTTGCTATGTATACTGCATTTCTGACTGACTCTACCGTTCTTTTGTTTTAAGTTTCTGTATGGTGTCTCTGTTACTGTATCATTCTTCTGTAGTTACGTACTCGCCGTCTTTTGTTACTGACTGGTTTCTCTGTTACTGAAAACTATATTTGTTCTTCTGTGGTTATGTACCTGGTACGTCTCTGTTACTGTACTCATTCTTCTTGTTACTGTATGGTCTTCTGTGTACCAGTGTCAGGGAACGCCTTTATTGAAAAAAGAAAGGAAAAAATAACAAATGAATAACTCGATAGATATAATTATATTTTTTCTAAGGATTTTTAATTTTTAAAAAATAAATAAATAAATAATGGCCCGCTGTGGTTCCAGTAGGTGTTGGGACATGAGAATTCTTATGCCAGGATGGTCTTCTGAAGATTTTATAGAAGAAATGGTGTGGTTATCCTGGGTGGCGGTGTTCGTCCCATGTTACTGAAAAACCTTGTACTACTTGTTGTATCACCACAATTCAGATTTTAGAAGGTGGGAGTCGTAATGTCCCTACTCCTTTAGACAGGGATCTTGCTCAGTTAAACTAAGCGTCTTACCCTGGTGACCAGTGTCCAGCAGCAGAGCTGATAATAAAGAAAAAATGGTTATATAAGTGTTAAATAAGTATGAATTGAAGAAAGAAAAGGCTGGTATTTACTGCAATGTCATGGACTTGTACCAGGTAAAATTAGAATCAATGAACAGAATATCCTTGTAGTTCACCGTACCTAATCATGAAGAAGAGTGGAGGTGAAGTTATTTCTTCAAACTTCAACCCAACCAGGGTAAGGTTAATATACCAGGAATAGTAATTAAAGCAATCTCAGGACGCTAGGAACTGACGTTTAGCCTCTGCATAGATGGGAAGAGTGGGCGGTACACCCTCGGTTCAGCCATCTTGAGCGTGTTTTTCGAGTTATATATTCTTATATGGAACAACTTTAAACTTATAAGACTGGATAGCCCATCTTAATAGTCGGCTATTGAGCCTTTGTAAGTTTTGAGGACATCAGTGGCTTGCGATCTGTTTCAAGCACAAGAGTTTTCCAATAAGTAGTAGTTGAACCCACATTTAACCCATACCAATGCATAACATTCCTTTCACAGTGGAAGTGTTTTCTTCCCTCGCAGACGCTTTTATGTGGAGGATGATATAGGGAGTGGAATTCATCATAATACTGTCGTGGAACAGCCCCGAGTCCTGATGGAAGGAT